CAATCCCGTTGCCGGCCCCGGGTCCGGTACGGGGGCAACACTGAGGGTTGCGATCCGTTGCCGGACACGGAAAAAGACAAAAAAACAAAAAAACAAAACAAACAAAAAAAAAAAACATTCAGTCTTTCACTATTAAGTATGATGCTAATTGTGGGATTTTTGTAAATGTCTTTTATCAGGTTGAGGAAGTTCCCTCTATTCCTAGTTTATTGAGAATTTTTATCATGAATGGGTACTGGATTTTGTTAAATGCTTTTTCTGCATTTAATCAAATGACCATGTGGTTTGTCCTATATTCTGTTAATATAGTATATTATACTAATTGATTTTTTGATGTTAAGCCAACCTTATATTCCCACAATAAATTCCACTTGGTCATGGTGTGTATAATCCTTTTTATATGTTACTGGTATTGGTTTGCTAGCATTTTGTTAAAGAATTTTGCATCTGTGTTCACAAGAGATATTGGTCTATAATTTTCTTGTGATATTTTTGTGATACCCTGGCTCTGGTATCTCATTCATTGAATGAGGGGAACTGTTCCCTCCTTCTCTATTTTCTGAAAGAGTTTGTGAAGAATTGTTATTACTTTTTCTTTGAATATTTCATAGAATTTACCAGTGAAGCCTCATGGGAATTTTTGCCCCTGGTCTTTGAGCATGATGGGCATAAGCCTGACTTAAGCTACAACCTAAACTCCACGAAGGCAGGAATTTTTATCTGTCTTCTTCACAGCTGTATCCCTAGTGCCCAGCACATAGTTGGCATTCAATAAATATTGAATGAGTAAATGAATATGGACAGCACACACCACTGGAGCACTTTTGGGTATTACAAACAACAGGAAAGAAGTTCATTTTACCCAGGTGTAAAAAGCAGCTCAATATAGAATTTTTCTTAAAGAAATTAATTTTTAAGACATTTATTAAATTCCTGTAGTAAATATATGATTTCTCTACACTTAAGCATAAAATCAAGTAGCATAAACTTTAATGAATATATTAAGAGGCTATTAATAAATTATATTAAGGTATATTAATAAGAATACGTTATTTATTAAATTATGTTAAAAGTATTTAATAAAGATTTACCCTTAAGGTACCAGAGGATATTTATACCACTACAGGGGGTAAAAACAAACAGATATGCTTCATAGTTGTCCCTATAAGCAGCTGGTGTGGCTGCCCAATGGAAGGGTTTGAGTTCCAACACTTAAGAGTCTAGACCATGATATTAGGAAAATGCAGAGACCCTAAGGCTTTAACCATCTGGTTTTCCTTTTGTTTTTTTTCTTCATATAGTTAATACAGAAGGAATTCCAAGCCTCCCAGCCCAGTGAGAGCCTCATGCAGCTGATGGCCAAGGGGGAGAGTGAAGCCCTCTCTCAGATTTTTGCCGACTTGCACCAGCAGAACCAGTTCAGGTACGTGACTTAAATCAGGCCAGCTTCTGACATTCCTTTCTGCAGCCCAGATGGTCTGGGCTGGGAGAGCCAGAAACCAAGCAAGTTGGTTAATGAACACAGGGAGGGGGCATGAAATACTGCCACTCAGTATCCAGTCTTTATCCTTGACTCAGGGCAACCTTTTCCCAGTTCCCTTTGCCTTATTCTCCTTCTCCATACAGCAAGCACGGTAGGCTTAACTCCAGAGGAGAAATTTTACAGAAAGTAAAAGTAACTCTCCAGAAATGAGAATTAGTTAGTAACACAGCAGAAAAGCAAAGCCTAATTTCTAATCCAGTTCCTAGTGCTACAGAGAAATAACCAAAACATTGCTTAAAACATCATCTGCTGGGCCGGCCCGTGGCTCACTCGGGAGAGTGCGGTGCTGATAACACCAAGGCCCCGGGTTCGGATCCCATATAGGGATGGCCGGTTCGCTCACTGGCTGAGCGTGGTGCTGACAACACCAAGTCAAGGGTTAAGATCCCCTTACCGGTCATCTTTTTTAAAAAAAAAAAAAACATCATCTGCTTATTGGGTTCATTTACCTATTTGCCTGACCTCTGCTTGGACTCAATGGAGTTTCTGGGGTTGTTTTCCAAATGTATAATCTGTTCTTGAAAGCTCCATGGTACAGACCTATCTTCTCCGTGACTGAGGAAATGTCCCTGTATGTACAGATGACTTAGTGTTTAGTCTTTTTTTTTTTTTCTTAAAGATGACTGGTAAGGGGATCTTAACCCTTGACTTGGTGTTGTCAGCACCATGCTCTCCCAAGTGAGCTAATTGGCCATCCCTATATAGGGATCCGAACAGTGTTGAGTCTTAAGACTGCTCGGTACAAGGAAGACAGGAATTGAGAGCACTTTGACCAGAGGGTACCACAATTGGCATACCCAGTCCCAGATAAAGTGGGGTTCAGGGTCCTAGTGCATCTTATTTGTGGTTTAAAAGAAATGGGAGAACAGAAATAAGTTCGTAAATGTAACCAGGATAGAAAAATGAGTGTGTCGGAGAGTATATTTTTGCCATAACAGAAAAAAGTTTGACCTGCTCAGAAGCAGAATGAATCACCTCTCCTTCTGAGCTCTGGCAGTAAACTGAAAACCAGGACAGCTCAGAGGAGGCAATCTCTATAGTGGTTAAGAGCTCATGTAGACCTGGGCCCAAGTCACCGCTCTGATTGCACCCTTGAGCATATTGCTTAACTTTTCTGGGCCTTAGTTTTCAGATCTGTAAAATGGAAATGATGATAGTGCCAGCCTCATCCAGATATTGTCAGGATTAAATAAGTTCATATGCATCAAGTACTTAGCACACTCCTCGGCAGATTTAGAGGCAAGTATAAGTAAGCTCTCAATAAATATTAACTTGTATTATTAACTTTAACTTGGGCTGGAGGTAGAAAAATATTAATACAAGTTAATCTGTTGCCCAGATTATATACTGAACATATTCTGGAGATCATCACTCTATATATCATACAGATATCTGTAATTAAGGAATTTCTGGATAAGATGTCACATTGCTGAGCTAGAGGGTGCTGGACTCTAACAAAGCAAGATATTTTGAAGCAACTTTTTGTCAAAATATTAAATCATTGATGTTTTGATTACATACTGTTTGAAGGACAGCTTTGCTTATATCTCAATAGCCACAACTCAGTCACACGGCCACACCTGGCTGCAAGGGAGGCTGGGAAATGCATTCTCCATTTTGCATAGCCATGCGCCCAGCACCAGATGAGGTGCCCTACCCCTGAGGGACTGGGGAAGAAGGGTTACTGGGGGACAATTGGCAACCTGGCACAGACAGCTTTTAATATTTCCAGAAGGTCAGAGAAAGCTAAGACCTGAAGGAGAAATAAGCAATAGCCAGATAAAGGGTAGAGAAGGGCCGGGCAGGTCAAGGGAACAAATAGGTGGGAGGCTGAGGCTTCACCGGAGGAAGAAGCTTGTTGAGTTTAAAGAAGGGGAAGGAAGGCCAGTGGGGAAGAGTGGGTAGTGATGGAAGAGAACAGGTAGAAATGGGCAGAGGTCAAGCCAGGCAGGGCCTGGGAAGCTACACGAAGGAATTTAGATCAAGTGTAAAGGGAGCTTTAGCAGCATCTTAAACAGGGAAGTGACATGATCCAATTTACATTTTGAAAAGGTCATGCTAGCTCTTGTGTGACAGTTGATTTGAAGGGAGGGAGAAGAGACGTGGAGAGACTGGCTAGGAAGCTATGGCAACCTACTCTGGGGTTGGGGGTGAGGCTTAATTTTTGCTTCGCTCTTATCTTAATAATTTGCTTTGTACAGACATTTAATTCCCAGAATGAAGCCCTGAGTGATGATTTTTTTCCCCTCACTCAGGCAGATTCTAGTCTGGTTGCAATTATTATTAGTTTCTGTACATTGACAACAACCTGCAACTTAACAGCAAGTAAAATGAATGGTTGACATACAGAACTGAACAAGAGGAGGCACACCCCTCCTCCTCAGCAAAATCAGCAGCACTGGCTCTGCTCCACACCTCCCCCCATCCCACCTTCCCCTTCCCTGTTTTGTCTTCTGGAACTTTAATATACGTCACACCCACCCAGTATAGACACAGCTGGCCTTTTTCATATTTATATCTGTCTCTAAAGCTTTTGCATCAGGAAAAATACAACCAGGAACAACATTTGAAATATGGGTTTAATGATCTATTCGTTTACTTCTACCTTTATTTCCTTGATCCTGAAGTGGCTGGAGTTCCAGGAGCAGCAAAAAGATGGAGACCAACAAGGACAGCTCAGGTAAGAGGGCACAGGGCACCTATGCCTCAGAGAACGTTCTGCTCTGCAGATGTAGGAATAAGATCCCCTCCAGCTCTTCATCCCAACTTTCCTAGTGCTGCATCCCTGATAGTTTGAATTCCTATAGGCTCTTTGGCCATCATAGTCAATTTGGCACCAAGCCCTACCAATTTCTTTCTTTGAAATGTTTCTTATATTCTTTACTTCATTTCTACTTCCACAGTTCCTAACCTAGCCCAGCCCTTCTCACCTTAAGCCTGCAGTAATCTTCCACTAGTTCATTCATTCATTCATTCAGAAACAAGTACTGAGTGCTTTGTAAGTGCCAGTCACTGTGGTAGGCTTTGGGGTTACCATGCATAAAGACACAGAGCCCTCTTCAAAGAGTTTAAAATGTGGTGGAGTCAGATGGGTAAATTCCAAAATTACAAAACCTCTCCTTCCAGGCAACATTTAAAGCTCATGCCTGGGGGTGCCAAAGGAGCACAAAGAAGGGGATCCCTCCCTTCTCCCAGGAAGCTGGCCCAGTAGCTGTGGTTTCTGAACTGAGTCACAGAGGGTGAATACAGGTGAGCAGGTGGAAGCAGAAGAGGCAAGGCATTCCAGGTAGAAAAGACAGAGTCTGTGTGAGGCAGTGTGGCACATTCTGGAAAAAGCAGCCAGTTTCCTATTTCCAAGTTCTAGTTCACCCCAAATCCATCATTGTGGCCCTGCATAAACTTCATCTTACCCACCTCACTTTCTCTGCAGGAGCCCCCTGCCTCATCATTTTCTGCCCAAATCTTCTGCTCCAGTCAGACCTTAGCTATCCTGCCCCACACCTCCTTAATCCTCCTTGCTCCCTTCCCCCAATGCTTCACTCTAAATCCTACCTGTCCTACTGAATCCTACACCTGACAACACCTTCCTGCCCAGACTAATCTTTCCTTGGTCTTAACCTGTCCTGCATTATTCTCTAGTTGTTTCTACAGTTTTAAGGCTTATTTCTTCGATGAATACTAAATTGTTCTCATGCCTCTGAATTAGCACAGGGCTGGGAACACAACGGGAGTCCAATAAATATCCATATACCATAACACTAATAAATTATTTCTCCATATTGTCTCAGGAGGCAGCCAGAATATCACGTTATAAGATAACTGGAAATTTAGAAGAGGTTGTAGATCCCGAGAGAGCTCTGCTAACTTTCATCCCAAGTGGGGATTACAAACTCATATGTCTGCAGGTGGTATAAATGGGTAAAGCTCTCAGTGACTTGGTTAGAAGAAATGTTTTACTTTTCTCTAACCTCTGTTATAAGTAAAACAGCAGGGCCGGCCCGGTGGCGCACTGCTACAGTGCGCCGCTTGGGAGCAGGGCAGCGCTCCCGCCGAGGGTTCGGATCCCACATACAGACCGGTTCGCGCTCACTGGTTGAGTGAGGGGCGGGCGCAGCACCGAGGGTTGCGATCCCATTGCCGGTCCTGGTCCGGTACGGGCGCGACACTGAGGGTTGCGGTCTGTTGCCGGACACGAAAAAAGACAAAAAAAAAAAAAGGAAAAATAAATAAATAAATAAATAGGGCCGGCCCGGTGGCGCACTGCTGTAGTGCGCCGCTTGGGAAGCGTGGCCGCGCTCCCGCCGAGGGTTCGGATCCCACATACAGACCGGTTCCCACTCACTGGCTGAGCGAGGCGCAGGAGCAGCACCGAGGGTTGCGATCCCGTTGCTGGTCCCGGTCCGGTACGGGGGCGACACTGAGGGTTGCGATCCGTTGCCGGACACGGAAAAAGACAAAAAGGAAAAAAAAAATAAGTAAAACAACAGCTAGCAGGTGACATTTGCTTTCAGCATTGAAGAGACAATACTAGGGAGAGGTGGGGACAGTGGCAATGAGAAAGTGAAGATTTCAATTTTTAAAAAATTCTTAAATCAATTTTAAAAGGCATGATGTACATACAATAAAATATTTTATTTTAAAATAAAATATTAAGTGTGCAGTTTGATGAGTTTGACAATGTTTGCACATTGTAACCTCTGCACCAATAAAGATATAGAACATTTTCATCATGCCAAAAGTCTCCTTTTTGCTAGGGGCCAGTTGAAGATTCAATTAAGGCTTTGATTAATTGTTGATGTACTGAAACAGAGGCCTGATGTTGCCAGATACTCTGATTTTTCTGAGAGGAGCCAAAAGTCTGGATTTTTTTATGACATAGCCTCCGCACATGAAAAAATGAAAGCACACTATAGGCCAACACTTAGCAGGCAAACAAAACCTATCTGCAAACCCCATTCAGCCTGGAGGCTGCTAGCTCACAACCCTGTTCTAAATGGGAGAGCAGAGCTGCTGCTGCCCCACATTTTCTCCAAGTCTATGAATGCTTTCTCATGTTATGCGACTGATGACATAATGGTGACTCACTTCAAACACACACACACGTACACACTCAAAACATACCCCATGAGATTAGGGTTTATGAAAATACAATAGAGAATATTTCAAACTTATTTCTGGGACTTGTGAGAATAGCTGGAATTTCAGGGTCATGGGATATCTTGCATCATGGGAGCTACCACTCCCAAAATGTCCCTAGGCTGATTTCCATTGTTGGGAAAATATAGGAAAACGGTCAGGGCCCCTCACATGTTCAGGATCTTGCCGAGCATTTGCTGTGAACAGGTTGTGTTTGGGCAGCGTTAGTGTGCCTGCGGGGCGCCGCGATTTGGCTGGCGTTTTCGGAGTGGGTATGCTTTCCAACCCAGGCTCCCAAGGAACATTTTGCCGGTTACCCAGCTCATAGACCTAAGTGTGGAAAGTCTGGGGACCCAGCCTGGCGTGTGAGGGGTCTGGGGACCCAGCCTGGCATGTGAAGGTTTTGTGACCCAATCTGGACAATGGGCTTGAGGGGTCTGTAAGCTCCAGACCCGGCCCTAGCTCGATAATTGGCCCAGTCGGCAGGATTCCAACATTAGCCCGAGCCTAACAATTGGCATAGTCAGCAGGATTACCAGCTGGTAAAAGAGCCCAACTGGCATGGTCGTGTAGCTTTACATCCATTAACCATCCTGGTTTGTCCTCTGGACTCTCTTTTCATGGGGCCAGGTAGTGCACCCTCTCGGTTTGGAAGGACAGTTATACCCCAGCCTCTTGGAGCTTTTGGATGAAAAGAGAGAGCTACAGTTGGACCAACCAGGGGCCCAAAGCTTACCTGTGTAGCTCAATCTTTCACCTCCCCATCAGCGGGTAGTGTGGCCAAATTTTGATTGCAGTGCTTCCCAAGCTTTAGTATGCAGTCCCCTGTGGATCTTGTTAGAATGCAGATTGGAATCCATCAGTTCTGGGTAAGCTTGAGATAGTGCATTTCTTTTTTTTTTTTTTCCTTTTTTGTCTTTTTTCGTGTCCGGCAACGGATTGCAACCCTCAGTGTCGCGCCCGTACCGGACCGGGACCAGCAACGGGATCGCAACCCTCGGTGCTGCACCCGCACCTCGCTCAGCCAGTGAGCAGGAACCGGTCTGTATGTGGGATCCGAACCCTCGGCGGGAGCGCCACCGCACGTAATAACTTCGTATAGCATACATTATACGAAGTTATCGCTCAATCTTTCACCTCCCCATCAGCGGGTAGTGTGGCCAAATTTTGATTGCAGTGCTTCCCAAGCTTTAGTATGCAGTCCCCTGTGGATCTTGTTAGAATGCAGATTGGAATCCATCAGTTCTGGGTAAGCTTGAGATAGTGCATTTCTTTTTTTTTTTTTTCCTTTTTTGTCTTTTTCGTGTCCGGCAACGGATTGCAACCCTCAGTGTCGCGCCCGTACCGGACCGGGACCAGCAACGGGATCGCAACCCTCGGTGCTGCACCCGCACCTCGCTCAGCCAGTGAGCAGGAACCGGTCTGTATGTGGGATCCGAACCCTCGGCGGGAGCGCCACCGCACTCCCAAGCGGTGCACTGTAGCAGTGCACCACCGGGCCGGCCCGAGATAGTGCATTTCTAACACCTCCCAGAAGATGCCAAAGGTGCTGGGCTGCAGGCCACCCTATGAGCAGCCCTTGGAGCTTTTGACCTTTTTTGACCTTTGACCAAGAACGGGCTCTGGCTTAAGGCTTTCTGGGTTCAAGGCCGTTGCCAGTTAGCTTGCTGAATCTCCTGATCCTTTTACTGGCACTGTCTTGCCCACGTGATATAGTAGTAAGAACATTGGCTCTGGAGCTGGGCTTCCTGGCTTTAAATTCTGACTCTATCTCCTCATTATGTGACTATCAGTCAGTTGCTTAACCTTTCTGGGTCTCAGATTCCTCGTCCATTGGTAAAATGGGGATTATGGCTGCACTGAGCTCACAGAGTTGTTGTGAGGATCAAAGGAGCATGAATGCACGCAATTGTTTGGAATGGTGCCTGGCACATGACAAGCACAACGCCCCCCCCCCCCAAAATCTGAGTGCTCTGTGAACCAGAGTACAAACAAACGCATTTCTTTTCTTGACCTAGAGAAAGATATTCCCTATGAAGACAGCATCCCTTGCACCCGCGACCTCAGCTGGAGAGATTCGTTCACTTATGGAGAGTGGGAAAGAGAAAACCCCTCTGGGCCACAGCCCCTCTCCCTTCTCGGCACTCTGGCAGCCTCCACTGGGCCACAGCTGGCCCCACCCATAGGTGCGGTGATGGGATTAATGACTGCCTTCATGGGATAGTCTTGGAGTTTCACCACAGGGCTGGGTTCAGGTCCTGGGGTCTTGAGGGTGATTCCAGAAAGCTGTGGGTAGGAATTGGGGCAGACTGGCCACAGCAACCTCCACCTCTTTTTCCTGCCCTGTTCTTCTCTACCTCCAACTGGGCTGAGTGAAACCCTGAAGTGTGGCACCTCCAATGTCCCTAGAGTTCCTGCAACTGGCTCTGAAGGGACAGAGACTAGAATGGCACCGCTGTAGCCAGACTCTTGCTGTGTGGGAAGGTGTGAGGAGCAACCTCTGGGGAATCCCTGTGTGCTCTTCCCCCTTTTCCTTCCCTAGAACTCGGCATGCCTTCTTGCTGCTGGGGCTGGGGTGCAGAGAGGGAGAAGGAGACAGACTAGGAGGGCTGGAGTGGGGATCAAACTTTCCCAGTGTCCCAGCCCTTCCCTCCCTTCCCTCTCTTCCTCTCCAAGTCTCATCCATCCATCCATCCATTCATTTAACAAACATTGGTGAAGTCCTTTCTATATGCCCTGTCTGACCAGAGACAGATTCCTAAAGAAAATAAGGGTGGTCTATGTTTTCTAAAGGAAAATATTAATAAATCATTAAAACTTATAAGATATCTGTTATTTATTAGTTGACAATTTTAAAAATTAGGTGCCCACAGAAGAGCTCTTCAGGTAATTTATATCCTGTTGAACACTTTTCTCTCCTGCATCCACAGGAAGTTCTATATGAGCCTTCCTTTCACACTGGGCAGAATCTATGCAGCCCTTGCCAAGGCCACTCTGCAGCATTCGGCTTCCAAAGGATACTATCTGGATGGAGGGGAGGAGAAAGCTGCAACTAAGAGAAAACCAGAACCCTCTCCCTGTGACAACACAGACTTTCCTTATTATAGCTGTGCACAACTTCGTGTCCCCACCCTCACTCCACCACCACAGCATGGCCTGGACAGAGAGACGGAGGGAAGGAACAAAAGGGAAGCAGGGCCAGAGGAGAGGTGGAAAAGAGCAAAATGCAGGTGGGGAGGAAGGTGGTGGGAGGAAGTCAGAGGAGTGGTAACAGAAGGAAGCAGAAGAGACTGGGGAGAAAAGATGAAGAGGACAAGAGAAGAAATACATCGCCAAGAGATGCCTCACCAAGCTTCTATTTATCTAATTTAAAACTTGAAAGTAAAGCCACAAACCAAAACCAGAAATGTGTTTTCTTCTCTGCTCAGACCACTCTGGACAAGTACAAGGCCATATCACTTCAGTTTCCCTCTTTGCTGTTTTTCCTGCTGGTCCCTCTCTTCTGCTTCAAACTCTATGCCTCCTTCCTTAGCCTGTTCCCTGACCTGGACTTACTAGCCCAGCCCTGGTGTTCCAGATAGAGGTTTCGGTTGAGGCTGATGAAGGGTTCCTATGGGAGGAAGACAAGGTGTGTAAGGTAGGGTGAATTTCCTTTTGTGTTCAAACTTCCTAAATTTTCTATTGCCTCAGCTCTACAAACATGAGCTCAATGTCCTTTGCATATAACACCCCCTTGAAATGCTGACATACCTTGCTAGTACTTATGAAATTAGCAACTCCAGAGAGAGTAGAAGCAGGCTCAACGTATAGGTAAATCAGAGGTTCACAAATTAGAGATTAAGAGAGGCACTAAGGAGTGTCTGTCGGATGGCCCATGGACAGGCCTTTTTGTTTAAAATGCACAATATTTCACATTCAATTAAAATAAGACTATGGGGCTGGCCTGTGGCTCACTCGGGAGAGTGCGGTGCTGATAACACCAAGGCCCCGGGTTCGGATCCCGTATAGGGATGGCCGGTTTGCTCACTGGCTGAGCGTGGTGCTGACAACACCAAGTCAAGGGTTAAGATCCCCTTACCAGTCATCTTTTAAAAAAATAAAATAAAATAAAATAAGACTACGAGTATTTCAAAAAAGCTGCTCAATCTCCAATTGGAAAGGGTTTTTAGATGTTCGCTTTGATTTAGGATATCCTGGGAGGGTCTTTTTAAAACTTCACAGAGGTGGTTTTCAGACTGAAATGGTTGTCAAGGGCTAAACTATAAGTTCTTGTATAACTATCACTCCAAGGTTGAGTTATATCCTTACTCTTGGTGATTTCAGTATCCACAAAGATGATCCTTCCCATACCCCGGTTGATGTTCCCTGAACTCCTGACCTCTAATAATACTGTTCTTGGGCCGGCCCGGTGGCGTACTGGATAAGTGCGCCGCTTGGGAAGCGCGGCAGCGCTCCCGCCCGAGGGTTCGGATCCCACATACAGACCGGTTCCCGCTCACTGGCTGAGCGAGGCGCGGGAGCAACACCGAGGGTTGCGATCCCGTTGCCGGTCCCCGGTCCGGTACGGGGGCAACACTGAGGGTTGCAATCCATTGCCAGACACGGAAAAAGACAAAAAAAAAAAAAAATACTGTTCTTCACCCTCCTCAGCCACTTACTCCCTGATTTTACCCTTGATTTTGTCACTAATAACTGCACCTACCTCATTTTTACCACTCTCTAGCAATATACCACCTCCTATCAATTCTGAGTCCAATAGTCCTACAATCTATTGCTCCTACCAGGTTTTCACTATCCCTCTCTCTCCTCATTTCCTCATTTCCCTCCCTTTCAGCCTAGATTCCCTGATCAATCATTATTATTATTATTATTATTATTATTATTATTATTATTATTATTATTATTATTATTATTATTATTATTATTATTATTATTATTATTATTATTATTATTATTATTATTATTATTATTATTATTATTATTATTATTATTATTATTATTATTATTATTATTATTATTATTATTATTATTATTATTATTATTATTATTATTATTATTATTATTATTATTATTATTATTATTATTATTATTATTATTATTATTATTATTATTATTATTATTATTATTATTATTATTATTATTATTATTATTATTATTATTATTATTATTATTATTATTATTATTATTATCACTATCACTCCCTTACATGCACCTTCAACACTTTGTGTCTCTTTCACTTTCTTCTGTTCACTTGGCTAAATCCAGCTCTCCATCAACTCCATGCCTGCACCATGCTGCTGAAATTGCCTGGAGAAAACCACATGACATACTCACCAGTCTCACCTTAAAGTCATCATCACAAGGCTCAAGAGTGTCCTTCATGCTGCCTGGAAATCTTCCTACATTCCCCTGGTCTGTTCACTCTGCTGAATGGTTATTTCACACCTTTCAAACCACCAGTGCCTCCTGATGATCCAGCTTTCCATTTTTTTTAATGAATTTTACACCTTTATTATTATTATTTTAAATATACAATGTAGTTGATTTTCATGTCCCTTTACCCATTCCTCCCTTCCCGCTCTCCCCCCTCCCACCCATCAACATCATATCTGTTCACTTGTCTTAAGTTCAAGGAATTGTGATTGTTCTTCCCCACCCCACGCCCCGCTTTCCATTTCTCTGACAACATAGTAGCAATTGAAAGAGAACTCCAAGCTCTCACCACCATATCTACCAGTAACCTAGAACCAGACCGATAGATTCTGGCTTCTCTCCTTGTTACTATGGAAGAACTGTCCACACTCCAGCTTTCCCCCCTTTGTGCCAAGTCCCATCTCATCTCACCTACCCAATGAGGTTGCACAAGCAACTCTCCCTTCTATTCCCTATGTCATCGATTTGATCTTCACTACTAGATATTTCCCATCAGCAACAAACACATTGGTATTTCTCCTAAACATACTGTTATTTCTTCCCTTTGAAAACATAACAAAATAAAACAGAACTTCTCTTGGCTCCTCTGCCTTCTCTGTTCCACTTTTCTCCTACTTTTATAGTAAACTCCTTGAAAGGGTTTCCAATTTCTTGTCTCTCTTTCTCTCTTGAACCCCTCCAATCAGCTTTTTGCATCCACTACCACACCAAAACCTGTCAAAGATCCCCACACTGCTAAAGCCCATGGCCAACCACCGTCAGCAGCATGCAACATATATGGTTATTCCTTTCTCCTTGGAAAACTTTCTTCACTTGGCTTCTAGGACATTCTCCTGGATTTCTTCTTCTTTCATTGGCTTTTCTTCTCCCTTCCTTTGCCAGTTCATCCTCATTAACACCTCTCTACCATCTCCAAATATTAGAAATTTCCAGAACTCACTCCCTGGGTCTCTTCTAATGAAAACACATGGCTTTCATACCACATGTATACCAATTACTCCCAAATTTCTATCTCTAGTCCAGACCACTGTGAACTCCAGAGATACATACCCAACTGCTTACTTAACATCTCCATTTTAATGTCTAATGGGCACCTCAACATGTCCAAAAGTAATCTCTTTATATTATCCCTCATAACTTGCTCTCCCCAAAGTCTTCTCCATCCTAGTAAGTGGCAGCTCCATTTTTCCAGTTACTCAAAGCCTTGGAGTCATCCTTGATTCATCTCTTTCTCTCCACCCCAGTTCCAATCCATCAAGAAATTCTTACAAAGTGCTTTCAAAATATATTCAAAATCTGACACTTCTCACCACTTCCACTGCTACCACCCTGAACCAAACCATTATTATCACTCACCTGGATTGTTGCAAAAGCCTCCTAATACACTCCCTGTTTCTAACCTTACCCCTTTCAATCTAATGTGATCCTTTTAAAATCTTAGATAATGTCACTTCTCTGCTCAAAAGCTTCCAATGGCTTCCCATATGTATTAGTTAGGGTAATGCTAGCTCTGTAAGAGATAAATCCCAATATATCAAAGGCATAAAATAACTAATAGAAGTTTTACATCTCATTCACAAAAAGTCCAAAAAGGATATTCCTGGTGAATGGCTCTTTAACAGAAACCCGGGCTCCTTGTGTCTCTACCATCTGCAATTCATGGCTTCTAGGGTTGTCACAGAGAGAGAAAGATCTTGGAGAATTGCACATGGAAGGTGTCTATGGCCATGACTGGAAGTTGTGTCCATTATTTTTGCCCTCCTTCCTTTGGTCAGAACTCAGTTGTAAGCAACACTGCAAGGGAGGTTGGGAAATGTAGTCTAGCTGGGATCATCCTGTGAGATTGGTAAATAGCCAGTCTGGTATATATATTCACCACAGTTTGGTAAACAGCCAGTCTCTTCCACACCGTCTCATTTTAGCTTTAGTAAAAGCTAAAGTCCTTGCAATGGCCTAAAGGCCCTACACAGTGTCCCTCTACCTCTGTCCCCATCCCTGCCACTGCTTCTCTGACCTCAAGTCCTCGACTCTCCTCACTGCTATACTCCAGCCACACTGGCTTCAGCTGCTCCTCAAACACTCCAAACCTCCTCAAACACTCCAAACATGCTCCCTGCTCATGGACTTTCCCTTGCTGTTCCCTTTTCCTGGAATGCTCTTCACTATTTTCA